ACTTTCCGAGTACGAACATTTAATTAACCGTTGGTGTCTAATAGGAGACCTACGATAAAGCAGCGTGAGCACGTTTAATGGCATAATTATGCGATTATGATGGAGCCAATTAACGATCGAACTATGCTTTAACGTAGAGGCATCGAAACTTTAGCTATGGAATTCAACTCTATTTTTAAGAAATAAAAAATCATTTTGATCATTAAATATAAGGTTTATATTCGTGTCAAATTTACTTCAAAACAGACTATTGATAGAATCTTTCAGTTTAATGATAAGTATTGATATTTCAACATAGAGATAAGTGCAATCTTGTTAATATATGATACAAGATGTAAATCTTGTTCTTGTAATTTTATCATTGGTTTAATTAAACGTTAAACAATTTTAGCAGAAAACCTGCATTGCAAAATGATCAATTAAGTAAGAATTAATATCGTTTAATGTTATTAGTCGAGCTAATATATTCACTGCGAACTGCGTTTTTGGACAAAAACGGATGCCCGTAAAACGAATTTGCACATCCCGCGAGAATATCAGTTAGTTGCCGGGAATTGTAACGAATCATGCAGAGTGATGCGGTGCAATGGGCGATGGTATAAATTATCAGGCCCCTAGCTCGTTTGGTAATTTAACGGATAATCGCAGGGATTGCCGAATTGTGGCTCGAATTCGCGTGACGCGCATGAATAATGGGCTTGAAATTGCACGCCGGACCTACAATAATGGTATCAATAGCGTAACAAAGATATCTTTAACAAAGATATTATACGCTTCCCTGGAATATATTTCAACCGGTCCTTAATTATTACGCTCGCATATTTATGGATGTACATCTATTAAAATGGAACCAGCAAATTGGCGATATTTAAAATTTAATTTAATTTTAATTAATTAACGCGTGTGTTCATAAAAATTCAGTCGTATGTATAATTTTTTTAATTGTAAAAAAAAGAACTACTTAATGTTGTACAGTGAAACGCTTTTATCTATAATTTAAAATAAAAGTGAATGTATTAATTAAATTTTAACTTATTAACGCACGTTTAATCTTGGTTAATATTGGATAATAAGATTATACTTCGATATTAAATAGATTTTGGCGCTTTTAGTCAAAATTTTCGCACGTACTTGCCCTTTACGCATTAAAATAAAATTCGTGAGTCTCCCTAAAGGGATACGTTTCATTTATATAGTAGAATTTTGTCTCATTAAATCACTCACGCACTTGCAGAGAAATTAGACTGCGTATTTTGATTTCTTCTGTTCTACATATTAATTAGACGAACTAGACGTTCCGTTCTAGTACAATTTATGGAGAAATAACTGGATGTGCGTAAAGTGTTTTAATTAAAAATTTTTACAATGCACTACGTGGCGAGCTTAACCTATTAACACACACTCGAAATGGAAGCATTAAATTTGTAACTATCATAATGGACGGGTAGCTTACTGGTGTACATCGTAATCTCGTTCTCCACAATAGCGTCCAGCAAAAAGCCCATATTTAAAAGACTCGCGCGTGTATGGGTGTATATATTCGCATGAACTCGTCTAGTCACGTAACGGAATAACGGAAATTAAAATACTGCCCGCATGGAAGTCGTCGTGGAATACTACAGATATATTACGGTGTAATATTACGATAATCAGTTTTATTCAGTTCTCAAGTATTCCTTCAACACTTCAATCCAATGCCGCAATCTCCGTAGCCAAAATTATAACCGTGATTTAATTTCTACCATGCACTATTCGCGATTTAATCTTCAGCTCCAATAATTATTTTATAGGAAATAGAAGATATGCATATATAACATGAAATTCACAATTTAATTTAAACGGTTATCTTTATATTTATTATTATATCTAAATTAATTTAATCTTTTAAAGGTTTATAAAGAATAATTTAATATTACTACTTAAATTTGTAAAACGTTTTTTCTGTTTAAAAAATACCAAAAAGAAAATAGCTTATTTTTTATCTAATCTCTTCAAAAATTTCTTTTTTTTTATGAAAGATTAATTATTTAAATTCGAATTTTAATAACCGAATTTTTATATCGTTTGTATATAATCCGGTAATTATACTGTAAAATGAAACGAAACTTTGAAAAGAAAATTATGCAAAACAGAATTATTTTACAAAAGAGGTCAATTCCAGAAATTGTCAGATACCAATCGCTGAAATAAATGAGTGGTATCAAGGAGCGATATTGCGTACGTAATGAATATCATTGATCAAATATCAATTGATTAAATATCAATTTAAATATAACTACGACCAGAGTAATATAAAAATCTACTCTAGAAACATTATCAAACTCTCTTATCAAATGTCAGTGGAATCACTGTAACAAGATTCGTTTATAATATTATTTAATTTATTGCTAGAAAAATAAAATAAACTAAGTAAATAAAAAGAGTGTTAAAAAATTATTATTTATATTTCCACGGAAGAGAATCGCAATTAAAAAAAATATTAAAATGTATGTAAGAATAATAAGGTAATGTGATCAAAATACGTAATGTGCAAGAAGAAGTGCAATGTAAAATGGATCTCTCTTTCGACAACAAAGAAAGAAATATAAATTGAATAATAACAAAGTAGTAATAAAATAGAAAGAATAATAAAGAAATACAATAGATAAGCAATAAAGAAATGAAAATAGTTATATGTATCATCGCTTCGTAATGAAAAGCTAACAGTTCATTCGCGATATTGAAATATCGTTGGATATACGTGAATAAACGAACGTGACTGTCGACAGTGAGCGATTTTCGTTTTTCTTTGGAAAATACAGAGAAAAAGGGGGAAGAGACGGAATTACGAAAAATCAAAGAGAGAGAGAAAGGTGGTTTCATTATTATTGCAGACACGAGGATTATATTCATTCAACTTATATAATTAATACTAACTAATTCGAACGTCTTTTCCGCTGCTTTCATTATTTTTGTCATACATTCTTTAAAAAAATATAATATTTTACACATGAAATTATTCTTTCCATACGAATTTAGTTAACTACTAAAACAATGGTGAAGCTGGTATATAAAAGAATATCTGAGAAACTCTTTTAATGAAAAATAAACATAAAAGTTGTGTTTATAATGCTTCAGTTCCTTTGTTATATAATACAATTACAAAATGTAAAATTTTATGAGCAATAAAAAAAAGCGAGCTCTCTCAAAAATTAACTTTCAAAAATATTTATAGTCACATAGAAATCCACTTAGTGGACTTAATGGAATTAGTAATATTAGTTATCAATATATTAAAGTAATAAATTCATATTATCAAAACTGACAATGAAATTAAATAGTGATAACGCCAACAAAATATCATCAAAAGTAAAATAATAATTAATAAAAAATATAGAGATGCATCTCGTTAAAGATATCGAAGCTCAGCAAATTTATATAGCAAAAAAACGTAATTCGTATAAGTTCAAAATTCCGCAGAAAAACGTATGGAGACCTGTTGAACTCAACCAGATCGACTTAATAAAAATCTAAAAATTCTCTTACGGATCCATACTTATTTTTCGCTTATTTAACAACTTAAGAAAAGTAAAGGAAGTTATCTTTGCTATTATTCACTACTATTATAAATGTGAAAATGTCGAAAGAAAAGTATGAACCGATATTATGGATGTTTTCTGATATCGATGATCATCTCCATTACGAAGAAATTTCGTCGATTTTCTTGATATATCGAAATCTCTTGGAAGCGAAATATGAGAAGGATTTACATTGAGTAGGAGAATGGGATAAAACGTCAGAAGAACGGCGCGTTTTATCGACGCCATTTACGACGATACCTTTTGTCCAGCCTTTTCTACTATATCGCAGATTGCCGGTCTTTCTTCGATCGATCGAATCGTGCGCGAAGGGAAACTTCGTGGTTGCACTTTCCCATTTCCCAGCAATTTCCGGAATGGGACATGATCGATCGTAAAACTTTATCTCTCTCGGGCTCTCACTCTTTCTTCATTTTCCTCCATGTGTGTCATTCTCTTCGCAGCATTCTCGTTTCTTCACTAACGATTTGATTCACGTTCGAAGGTGAAGGTCAGAATGTCGTTTACGGTAAAGAGGAACACGAGTCATCGATTTTGCGATTATCGACAGGATAAAATTTCTAAAGTTGCACGATCGTTATAAATATATACAATACTGAGAAATTAGATCGCAGGAAAAACGCAGGAAAAAAGGACTTCTCTTCATCGAAGGAACGAGGTCATGGAAGAAGGCCGAAGTGGTAAAGTCGTTTAGTATTCTGGCGGTATCGTCTTTCAACGTAAAGGTACACCGATTAGCTCTGTGACGAACGAATCGGCGATCCATAAAGAACCGCGAACGAAATCGCCGACGTGCCGAAAATAAAAGGATATAAAGTAAACGTGACTGGCGTATCGCCGAATTTTCTGACCGATTTCTCAGTTAAATTGCTGAACATTTTTCAGAAATACAGCACGCGAAATAATAACTCGCAAAATGAAAAACGTGCCATTGACAGACAATCATTTTTTTAATTTTTGCAATATCGTTAACTATTTTACCTTTAATAAAATCCACAGAGAAGAAAACGTGATACAATATCATTATTTTCATCCTGTTACGAACTAATCCGATTAAATTCTTCGTATTCCTTAGAATACGAATGAAACGATGCAAAAATTGCAAAATAACAAGTAATAAACGATTACTCTAAAACATAGCGAGAGTAAAAAGAAGATAGAACATGAAGATTAATTAATCTCTTCTTCTCACGTAATAATTATATCTCGAGAGATAGAAAGAATGAAAATGCAATTTTCTAAATGTTAATATTTAATTCTTAATATTCTTCTGTCATATATCTCTATTAATTACAGTAACATTTTATTCCACAGTTATTAATATATTCTTTAGCGCGGTTTTTCAATGCTTTCGTATTCGAGGAAAATTCCATACAATCGAAACATTAAATAAACGCTTTGTCTGCTTAAAGTTAAACTTACCTATAGGTGATGAACGCGAACACCAGGGCCACCAGGGACAAGCTTCCTCCGAGAACGACGATGAGGCTGAGCACGCCGTCTTGGTCGAAGGAACTTGCGATTCCCGTGGAAACGCCATTAGCTATTCCGCCGGGTTGCGGAAAACCATGAATCGCGCCGGTATATAGCGTCTCCATGTCGCGCCGTTATACCAGCATCTGCAGAATAAATTCAATTTATCAAACGAATACAAATGAAAAATAAACATGAAGACAATTGGAAAGAAAAGGATAATTAATATGTAAGGGAAAAATATGGAGCACTGTCGCTTTTGAATTTTTAATTACCACATATCCTTAATTAAGGAAAACAATAGATAATGAAAAATAGGGAAATAGATTTAATTAACTGGAACTAATTAATACATGCGGCAGCGCAAATACTTTCACCATTTACCTGATTCCGATGAAACTAAATGAAGAACAAATTAATAATAAACGTTTACCGCGATCCGGGGAAACGTTTGTCGCAATATAGCGGCTTTCATCGTCGTAAATTTTAATTAGCAACAGAGACTATTAACTCTCGAGACGCGGATTTTGATAATTCAAAACGTTAGAGATATCAGAGATTACCGCACCCGAGGAAACAGTTTTGTGTAATATATTCGGGCTGCTGCACGTGTTGCTATTATATCTCTGGACGATATTAGAGAATTCGGTCCTGAGTAAATCTTGGACTAGCATTGCTAGAACGAGGACATTTTATATCGTATATTATATAATACTGTAATTTAATTTTCTTGTCATAAAGATAATGCAAAGCTTAATATGATTTCAATTATATTTAAATATAAAGAACATAATCATATCTGTCTCTACGAATTTTTTTAGTATTTAAGAAAATGGAAGGAAATAAAGTAAGCGCGAAATATTTTTTAATTATTTAAATATCATTGGCAAAATAATGACAACAACTCCGATATGCCAAACGCGTGTTAAACTTATTTTCAACTCACACATTTTGATTAAAAAATTGTAAAATCAATTATCTCCGAAATATGTTGTTTGTCTTATTTTGTTATTTCCCCATGTAACAATATCAAATTATTTATCAAAACTGTAAACCTCGATTTCAACTCATCCGATACGAGCTCCAACAACTGTCGGACTTGTTTCAATTTATTCCACTAGCACGCATTGACAAACACGCGAATCCTTTTTCAAAGAATATCATCGTAATTAAATCGAATATTTAAAAAAAAGATAATCAAATATACATATATTATGTATTTTATTTTGAAAATGACATAATCAAACGGTGTATTCAATACATAATTGATGCAGATAATTAATTAAATGTTTCTGTTTTTCGCGTATATACGTTTGATAACCATTTATTTACATAAACAAAATTGGATTTCATTATCTCAGTTCGACGTAAATAATTTTATAATTCATGCGAGCGTGAACCTTATTGCGGAAAACATGGACGTGCCGTGAAATCGTATACAAGATATATTGAATGGGGATGTTAGCCGATCAAATATAATTAACTTGTTAATTGTGAGCACAACATTTGCATTGTCAACTTCGGGTAACAATGTACGAGCAAAAGTTTTCCACGTCACGGCAAATCGATCAATCTTTCTCATGAACTGGTCAGCAAACGAGATTTTTAAATTAATAATAATACGTATGCTAATTTCCAAGTTGTTAGTTCAATCACGAAGTTTTAATTGAATCAACCATTTTAAAATCTTCAATTAATAATTTAAATTTTGCACAAACACAATGTAAACATGTTTTTATGTACTTTTTATACGTGTTTTTTATTTAGCCATCACCTAGACTCATTATAAATATTTCTTTCCCTTATAATCTGCATATACCAGTAGCAAATTAAAAATACTGTGGCACATTTATTATTAAATAAGTACTGATGTTATACTGACTAACATAATTTATTAATTTAGTTAAATTATTGATATAAAACCGATTTAATTAAATTATTAGATTATTAATATAAAATCGACACACTCTTACAAATATCAAAAAATGTTATTTGTTAAAATAATTAATTAGGTTATTTTAATAAAAATATTTACAATTTAAAATTCTTTATTTATTATTTAAATCATATATCCTCCATGCTTGTCACTTCATACTCTAACTGGGTGACAGGTGAGAAACTTTGCAAGTAACATGACTTTTATTTCTTCACGACAATACTCTTCACGCAATAACAATTCATCATCCATCTCGAGAATTTTCACAACACCTTCCTCTAGGAAAGCAAGCTGTATAACATTAACGGTGAAAAGGACTTCTAGCCTTTATCCGACATTCACCATGTAAAAGCATACGAAAGCCGTGCTTCTCTCGTTTGTATGAAATTCACTTTTGCACATAGTCACCTGTGTGTATAATTAATATTTGCATAATATTTTCCTTTATGAAATTTTCTTCAAAATTTTCCTTCTTCTTTCTATTCTTCAGATTTATATAGCGAGAATTCTTTTTGATTAAAAGATTAAAACTGATTAAATTCCCTTACATTAAAGAAAGCATAATTTATATTTATTTGATAATTTTATCTTCGTTTATTAATAGTAAAAGCATTATGGGATAATGTATTGGAGGGGAATGAAATATAGCATTTCGGAAGCCATCAAATGTCATATATATTGCAATGATGAACGCGATCTACGTGCAACCGACTGGAAGTGCGAAATGGGACATGTCACGTTAACTATTCCAATCAGCACTAGTTGACAACTGCGCGCTACGTAATAATGTTTAATGGCATTCGATGATAGTTCTGCATATCGATCGGTGACGATATTGGTTATCAATCGCTCAACCAAAACACAAAATACAATACGTAATAGATAATATTGAGCAACTGTTCTCAAGCTCCATCTGATGAATAATTCGCGCAAGTTAATATCCATTCACCGTTTTGTTCTAAGCTTCACTATACTCATCCTAAAAATTTTCCGCGATATTTTTGGACAGTCATAATATCTGTACTGCGCAAATTGCGATCAATGAGTTGACGACTGGTGCCAATTTATTAGAAGATTTACAGATAATTCGGCCTTATAACAAACTGACATGGAATGTCTTTTTATGTCCAGATATACATTGACTCAATATGTGTATTAAAAAATTATATTTTCAGTAAATATTACGATCAAGTAAAGCTCTTTTTAAAAGAAATTGCTTAAACTTTAACCAAAAATATTATAAGTACAATTATTACTGTATTATGATACCATTATTAATATATCAAAAAAAAGTTATTTGCGTAGAATTTCGTGTAATATTTCGTATGTACGAAAATCTTTTATAGGATACGTCTGCTATTAAAATATTATTTCAAAGCAAATAAAAATGTATTGACTTCCAATGTTTGTATTTTAAATACGTTAAATGCCAGTAAAACTTTTACTTTAATATAAGAGCATATGAATATGATCTATAAATATTCTATTCAATTTTCCTCGCTGCAACTACTTAAAAGTAATTGATTGCAATATATATATATATATATATATATATATATATATTGTTTTTATATTACATGTCTATCAATAAGTACTTTATATCATTACTCATTTAATTCATGCATATTTTGTTTTTATATCTTTTTACGATGCAACGTAAAGATCAGTCATCAACGATCGGTGTTCTGGCGAAAATAAATATTAGAATAAGTCAAATATAAGGGGAGAGTGATACAAAGCTTCTAGCAAGTGAAAATTGAGACAACTTTTACCTTTTGTCTCAATTTTTGCCTTCTAAAAGTTTCGTTTATATTTCTGTCATTTTTGCTTTAGTAGGCGTCTACAATATGCGGAGTATACACATATAAGTTTGATGTAAGAAAGTAACCTAATATACTTTTTGTGTAAGGAAAATATAGAAAAAAGTAAAAAGTATAGGCATAAGCGAAATAAATTAGTTTTATTTCTTATTTCAACTTCATCTCTTATACTCAACTCGCGCAATAAGATTTTGTTAGCTGGTGCTATAAATAAAATAAAAATTATCACAATTGCATACTTTTACTTTTTACACCAGACTCACTCCGTGTATTATAGTCGAGCACTTACATTTGATTTACTTACTCCGATTCATATGATTAAAGTTTGGAACGTTCGTGAAGCGAAAATTAAAAATAAGTCGATTCTGCCGATTTTTATTTTTCTCAAAATGTTGAAATGAAAACTAAGACTCCATTTTTATAATTAGGACCATCTTAAGTACAATCTTAAGATATCATGAGCTGAATTATCATAAATATATATTTATCTTAAAGCTTACTGTACTTAAGATAAAAATACTTGAAACGACTACATGTACGAGTAAAATTATAAAGATGTAAAGATGCTTAATGCTATATATTTTCTCACAATTATAAAATTGATTTTTATTGTTTATTACTTAAGACGATCTTAAGATAAGAACTGGTCCAGCGGTTTTTTCCAGACGAGTCAGACTTACTTTGCACTCTTGGCAGAGACGCGTCGACAAAATGGCAGGATCAACGGATCAACAGACAATTCCGTCGCTCATGTTTTAGTGACGATCCATGTGACGAGGCAGGAGCCACGTGATGGCACGAAACGGCCGCTTCGCGTGTTCCGGCGAGACCGGTACCGGCCGGCACGTTGAACGGGAAATGCTCACCCTGATCGTTATCACTCCTTGATATGACCGATGCTCTGTTGCACATTCGAATTCATCGCGTTTTTTTTCGCGCTTTTACCTCCGAGAGTCGTGGCGTTCCTTACGCCAACAAGTTCCGATGCACGTCGTCGGCCATGTCTGCAAAGATTTTGCAAAATGATAAAGTTGATAAGAAAACGGATCACTTTAGTGACTCTGTAACTTTATTTAATATGGCATCGATCGAGTTTGTAAGAATAACAGGTTGCGATATATCGTTCAATAAGGGTATACGTTCTGAAACATAACTAAGTTCACGTCACTATCAGAGTTTTAGGCTACATTCCAGAACGTCCTCTCTGAGAAAAATTTTACTCGATTTAATGTAGTATACGTTATGTGTACCAAATATTTCGAGTAAAATTTACCTCGGAGAGAAAATTTTGAAATTATATAAAGTTATGTTTTGGAACGCATCTCAGGTGGGAGGAATTATTTTCGTTGCGATCAAATTCAAATTATCAAAGTATCTATTTCGGTAAATAAAGCGAATGAGATATTAACAAGATCTATCGAGGTATTTGAAAAACTTGACGAGATTTTCGTATTTCTCGTTCGACAAGATCGAATGTTCGCTAACGAAAGACAAATTCACATTAATGCACGAGGTTTATTGTTAAATGCGGCTACATTCAAGCTAATGTATTCAATTTTATTTTCATATCAATAAATCGCACGAAAAGAGATGTAATGAGATTTTTACCGTGTCTTCCGTTTTATCGTCCTCCAGCAACTATCAAGATTCCCGACTCTTATCTTCGTTTATCAGTCATTCGCTACCTGTCGAAAGCGATCTGTCTTTCCGTAAATCGGAATCGCGCCTCGAGAAACGGCGTTGATCGACAGCTAACTCAACTCAACAGCACCGCGACACGGCGAGTGAAATAAAAACCGGACGACGGATTAATTCGCGGACGAATCAACCGGGATCAGTCGTACCATCGTCCGATAGATCGCGGACGGGAAACCCGGACACGAATGCGAACGCGACGGACCGCGGATCACGACTGCGAGGAACTCGTTCGCGCTCCGCGAACGCGCGCGCGGAACTGCGCCGCGCATGTACGCGCGCCGTACGGCGTGAAGTTTGCCCAATCTCTAGGGGAACCGAGAAATTCCGCTCGATTATGTACCGCGCTTGTCTTGAAAATTATTCATTTCTCTCGCGACGGTATAATTGAATTATTTCAAGAAATATATTAGGTAGTACGCTTACAAAAACATTACGGAGCACAGTCTAGAGATTGTTTCTTTCATTAATCCATGCCAAATCAACGATATTTTTTCATTGTTCTTAATTGATTTCTTCATTGAATGAAGATTTTAGTCCACCAAAAAATATATCGAATATGTTGATAGAAACTTTAGAGATATATCTTTTACTTAATTGTATTAATTTGCAAAAATAAAAAATTTGCAAAAAATACAGTGAATGCAAAAAGTGTTCTTATAAAGAAAATTTGTATTTAAAAAGTTTTATTAAGACTCTTATAAATTTAAAAAAGTTATATTATAAACTCTAGTACCAAGATAACGTCGTAATCACATCTTTAAAGTTAATAAGATGTCATTAAAACTTTATCTTGCTTGCTCAAGAAAAATTTAAATGGTATAATATAAAATATTTTGGCAATATTTTTTTTTAAGTTCTTGAACATATCCGGGTTTGCCTTCACAATCGGATTGAATATTTTCGTCATATCGGATTTGTGACAGATCTCGTACTGCAGTTACGGTGAATGAAAAAGAGAAAAACAAACGGATATGTTCAAAACAGGTCGCGTTTCAACGCTCGAAAAATCACGTAAAATTATATCGCAGATTTATAGCACGAAAAGTTTTTGAACACCACGTGGCGCAATGTGGCAATAACAATATTTCTTGCATGCAAAATAACTCATCGACAACATGTTGCAAATGAAAATCATAAGTATTCCTTCTCAACATTTCATATTAATTTAAATGGAATTTCACGACGCAACTTCAGATTAATTAATCCTTAAATCCAATAACCGAAGATATTTTTAATAATTTGAAAGTAAAGAATATAACTAATATTTTGTTAATATATTGTACACATAATATTATTTTCCAATAAAATAAATAATAGTTATAAAAAATAAATAGATAAATAAATAAAAAGTTCGTGTTTTTTAAAATAAATTTTGTTTTAAATAATTACTCAGTATAATAAAATTAGGAATCATTGATTGTATTTAAGCAATCAAATATGATGTACGTATTTATTGAATGAAATTCTACGAAAAAAATATTCAATGAGATTAAATAGATTTATCTTTTTAGTAATATTAATTAATATTAGTGTCATTCTTTTTTTAGCTTGAATTTAACTCAATAAATCAATAGATCGTTAACGAATTATGGAAGGAAATGTCTGCTTGTCATTCACAAGAACGGAAAATTTTTGGTTACTCGCTCATAAGCAACGAACCAAGATACTGTCATCGGACGAGGTGGACAATTATTGAGAGTTATGGTAATGGACGACCTAATTTCGGAAGGACAAAAGGACCATCCTCGTTCCGCCAGGACAATATGCCCGGCTGTAACAGAACTATTCAAAAAGATGAGTCTTTGAAGACTATCAACCCATTGATATCCATCCTTTGCACAAATAGAAATTAGATACTAGTTTCAATTAATATTGGCATTAATATTGGCATTAAAGTATAACTTCACTTTTTACGTCGTTTAGATAAACAATTATAAATTATTATATTGTAGAAATAAATTATTCATGTTTTTCTACAATATAATAATTTATGATTAATAACGTCTATACTAGAATAAAATAATCATTAATCTTAGTTGTATAAAGGGTCTCACATTAACAATACTCGAACTGTACAAGATTTATAGTCAATTCTGACACTCCAGTTGTAGCAGCGTGAGCCTGACAACAATAACGGTGCGCGTTGTATTACCTCACCAAAATGGAAAAGCACCCTCGGGGTGAATCTAAAGATACGACATTCCAAGCTATAACGCGTATCAAAACAGACTTTTTAAAAAACTATTATCATATCTTAAAGTACATATTAATTGGCGAAACACGCTCCTTATTAAAGCGGTGGATCAATTTGTTTATTTATAAGTTAGTAGACAAAAAAGAGAAAGGTCCATTCAGCGAGAGTTCATCAACTTAAATGATAGATGAACTCCAAATTGCCTCGCTTAAGATTAATATTAATTAGTTGATAATATTTTATTTTTTTAAAACAGTATGATCCACGCATGAAAAAATAAAGATTCAGTTAAATAACTTTCCAATAACTTACGTATATTTAACAGCAAAGCGTGACTTTGGTAACGTGTATCTCATTACACAAGTGCTGTTGAGTCTGAAGGTACGATAATCTGATTTCATTGTATGGGATGGAGCAATAGTCCGGCATTCGGAGTTGCGGGGACGGAGTGAAGTGGATAATCTAATTTGTGAAGGACAAAAGAGGGTTACAATCGCATAGCAAGGAGTGCCCTCGAGGTATCTCGAAAAGACCGTGCCCTGCACTGACCTCGATGAACTATTTTGACGCGTACGTTTACAAATGAAAATATAGGAAATAGGAAAACGTGAAGAAATGTTATCGGTGTAAACGTCGATTATAAAATATATAGTGTATTTTTTTTCAATTATCGTCATATACAAAAAGTTAAAATTTATTTTCCTACTCATAAAATACTTATTCATATACATATCTGAAACGAATCATACGTATGCATTTTCGTTATGTGTACATATACAAAACAAAAATGCTTCATATTTGTAATATACAATAATATACACAAATATATTTATATATTATATGTACATAAAATAGTAATTATATTTACAGAAATTTATCCCAACAAAGTCATACTTTCCAATTATCGCAGTATCGTTAACTATACCTACGTTAACTACGCGTCAGTCTATAGTTCATCATCGTCACAAAATTCGATCTCGTGATATGTTTCAGCTATCCAGCCAAGGAGGTACTTGACTTTCTCTGTCGCTTCGTCATTGGCTTTGTAACCTTCAATAGCCTCGGACAGGCACTTCGATAAAAGTTTTAACAAAGGCTGTGGATAATAAAATCGATGTTAACAATAGATACACGATCAACATCAGGAATTTAAAGCAACTCGGATACCAAAGAGTCACTAAAAATACTTCGTAAAAATATTTCGTCCAATTACATGTATATGTTACATACTCTCTTACTTTTTGTCTTTACTTTTTTATCATTAAAAAAATCTTTTTTAATTTTATAATATTTTTTTAATACTAAAATTACAGAAAGCAATATATATTTTTTCAATACATAAATATTTTTTAATTCCATTATTTTATCTCAAATAATTGGGATTATATCGCATTTAAACTTACCACAGGCCAGTCTTGTCTGAATAAAGCTACACATTGATCACTCAGATTATCTCCATCAACTATCTTTGTTTCTAATAATCTTTTTAGAAATTTGCCAAAAATTGGCCACAAAGCGTCGTTTTGTGCTTGCATTAACAACATAATATTTCTAGAACACAGTATTCTATGCATAGGTGAATTATCTTCCTCATTTCTTAAATTGTCCGACAACCATACTTTAATCAATTTGTCCTGGACTTCTCGCGTAAAGAGATCCGTTCTATATGCCACTAAAAATGTAAAATATTATAGTTATAATTTTATCACACTCTTGAGATTTCAGTATTAAACATACCTAAAAATAATGCAAAATCTATACTAAGATAACACAAAACTTTCTGTGGTCCTGGTAATAAATCATCTCTTTGATTGAATGATTGATACAGTTTATCTAAAGTATCCAATACAGACGAAATAGTCAAACCTATACCATTGTTATCCAACATATGCCATATTAACCCCTATAAACAAAAACAAGTGGAAATATGTCTAAATATTAATAACTTAAAGTCATTAATTTTAGAAACAATAGAAATTATTTTAGAAAATATTTTTGTTTTAAAAATTATATATCTAATACATCAATGTATGTATCCAAATTTTAATTACTAAATTATCATTAAATTCTTTATTGAATCAAGTTTATATTATATTCTTACTCGAAGCTCATCCATCATAGTAGTAGGATTAGGAGCATCCATATTGTGATATTTTTCTTGCTTGGAATGTACAGGACTATTGTTCCGAAAGAACCTATTAATCTCAAGTTCCATATCTTTTATGAACAAGGAATCACCGGCAATATGCGACTGAATCCATTGATTTATTCGTTCCATTGCTATTCTAGTCGCAATCTTGATGCACATTTCCTTGACTGCCGTTAAAGAATCTTCTGCTAATAAAGATTCTATCGATGCCGCGACTCGCGTTTTGCAAATTGCTGGGATTGTTTTCTCACACTGATCCTTCAATTCTCTCGACGCGTTGTTGGCCAATGTATTCATGTCGCTCACAAGTAAAGCCTAAACACCAAACTACGATTTAAACTTAATCCTTTTTCATACAACATGAAATTTTCTTTACAATCGTGCAAAGATATTACCTTAAATTCGTTGAAGTAATTTTTTGACAGTTCACTCTGTTCATCGGAGTCCTTCTCGATACGTTTGTGTTTCAGAATCTTTCTAAAAGAATTTAAATTTACTTCTCGCGATGAAGTCAATAAGGTGTTGCATATATGCTTCACGCAAGTTGATGCGACTCTTTCGGAAACAAAATCAACAGTCTTCCGAGTAGAAGCTGGTTGACCATGGAAAAAGGCTTCCTCCAATTGTAACTGCCATAACAGAAATTTATTAAGCATACAGTAACATAGAGCAATATTAGAAATATAAATATATTGAATAAAAAAATACCTCCAAGTGTTTTGCACGAGTAGTGCCTCCTAATCTACGTAGTTGACTAGTAACAGGTGTAATATGCTTATTAGAATTGATATTCAAATTCGTCCCGTTTCCATGAAACACAGAGAAAGTCGATTCCATTCGCGGACAGCACATACGCATCGTTCGATCAGTAATTATATCTAATTTGTCGAGATTACTTTTAACAGGAATCACACAATCGACAGAATGCGAGTTTTTTCTCTTTTCAAAAAATTTTTCCATCTGTTTGAGACTCTTTAGTTCCTTGATTTTGCAAGTCTTTTGCCAGACAATATAGAAATCTCTGGGAAAGTTTGATAGTTCAAACAGCCAACATAGACTGGATTTGAGCAGCACAGCCGATTGTTGAGAAATAAGACAATCAGGGGCAGTAAGATCGGTCTGATTTATAGCATGATAAATATAATACAATAGTTCCAAGATCTGCTTATAATATGGCAGCCGAAGCGACACAATATCCATCATAGCTAAATATTTAACTATCCAAGGTATCGTCAGTGACAGTTTACCCTCGATTATGGCATTCTGAAGACAAGTTTGTAAATTTAATGATGGTAATACCTATAATAAAACAATTGAAAAGATTATTTAAAAAGAATTTGGCAAGTAGCTTTTAACATTTGAATTTTTATGTCACGTACCTTATTTCTTATCTCTATTTGTGTCATTATAATCTCTTTTGTAGTATTTGATTCAGACCTATATGGCAATGATACTAAAAGGCCTAATACTTTTGCAAGAAGCCTCAAGCTGGCTAAACAAATAATAAAATTCTGTTGCGTTTGATCGTCAACCATTGTTTCTGCAAAATGAAAAATCCAGAAAAAAGTAGTTTTTCTAAAATTTTAAATAGAATATAAACAGTCATGAAATCATTAAAATAATAAAAACTGTACCTGAGTCTTCTATTTCACTATTAGCAAACTGAGTATCGTTCAATTCCATTATTTCATGTACAAAACAATTCTCCAAATGCGTATAAAATATCGGATTAAATGCATGCAATATAAAATCTTTAAAAAATTCCTGCATGCCAGGAAACAAAGGACCAACATTCTGACTTTGTGATGGTAAGGGAGTCACAAATCTCTTGCTGAGTTGTGTCAATTTTTCAGGATTAACATGTTTTAAAGCTTTCAAGAAATTCAAGCTTTCGTCATCCACTACATCATCCTACAATTGATAATAATATGATTGTTTCGTTATTGAGAATATTCTTTTTATAGCAAATATAATAAAGCATGTTAATAGTTTTGAGCTTACCTGATGTCTATTCTGCATACACGATATTAATAATTGTGATTTAAATAACCTAGCAATGTGATAATAATTAGTACAGTCATTGTGCATCGCCAACATGCTTCTTATCTTGCCACCCAGCGCAATTTGAAACACCCATCCTGGCACCAAATGATTTTCCTCCCAAATTCTAAGTATATCATAAAAAGCGTCTCTTTGCTTCTTAAAAGTATGGAACGAAATAGCAGACGAGAAATTCTCACGATTGTCAGTGTCAATTTGAAAAGACACGTTTATCTCTCCCATGATACACGTCAATTTTTGCGGGCTATAAATAGCGATAAGTATTTAAATATTATATTAAATAACGAAAAAAATCATAAAAAAATAATTCATACAAGTAATTCGCGTTAAATTATAACCTTTTTGCTGGTCAAATATCTCTTTCTTTTTAATTAAACATTTTTACATATTTATTTTTTCAGGTCACAATTTTGAAGGTTAAATTTTCGGAACATTTGGAGAAACTCGGAATAGAATATTATCGAGGAACACGAGATCTTAATTAAACAAAGGCTATACAATCAATGTTATTGTACAATCTTCAATCGCAAAGTGCACATTTTTCAATGTATAGATTTGTATAGATGTATTTTCAAACATATGGATACGTATTACCGCATTCTAATTTGTCTCGCTTTTTAAGCTTTATAACCAGGTCGGTCAATTTAGGTTAGGTTAATTAACAGACAATCATGGCTTTTTAAAAGAAACGTGCCTGCATTTTAGACGGCACTACTGAACTCCAGTAGCGTCTCCACCTGCACAAAATCCGAACTACGTAGAATATTTCCAGCGGATAACACATTATATTTTTGGTTCTGTTCCGTACTAAGTACGTTCACCTACTCTACAATTGAGTGAAGTGCTGTAACGATTGGAGGAATTGTTACGAGGCATCGTTGTTACTATCGATATCTGTTCGGACAGGCAGATCAGTATATCGATATCCCCGTGTGTAGCTATTCCCGAGGGAAAAGAAAGAGAAGAGGAATGAGCAGTTGATGATACTGATGACGCTGTGTCGTGAATCGTGTGAACGCAAAATATAACCTCTCCAGCGCATAAGATGCGCCAGCTTTTGTCGATCCAGTCAGAGACACCACTATTTCGAGAAACCTGATCTCGCCTGGCTGCGTGCCCCACACACGTTTGTGCGTCCCACGATCAAACAATTCCGTCTTCGCGATCCTCGTCGGCTGCTCATCATGAAAGTGATCGTGAAGAAGCTGCAGGGGAAAGAATGCGTCGTTGACGTGAGTACGGCATGGCTGTCGCGCCGCTCCCTCGTTTTCTCGCGAAAGCATCCGCGACTTCCTCTCGTGATCTGAATTCCATCGCAGACCAATACTAAAAATCATGGAGCCAAGCTAATGATTGTCGTTACCTTAAATGAATTCACACGCTCGAACATTCGTTAAAGCGAAAAATTAAGGTTATAATCCGCCTTTCGGACGAGCATCCTTTCTGACGTCAACAATTTTTTTTTCTTCAAACATCTCAAGAATGTTTTCATAGAAATTATTTTCATGTCGTTATGTCATGTCGTATGATTTTAGATATTGCCGTCAGAGACAGTGTTGGAGTTAAAGCACAAAGTAAGCGATCTCTTGGGCATCGATGTACCACAGCAAAGATTATTACTTACTGGCAAGACTTTAGCGGGTAAGAACACTCGATCTCAGAAGCTTTTCATTTGGTGGCACGAATATTTTTTATTTATTGTTCATGAAATATCAAGAAAGATAGAATGACGTTTATTGACTCATATCACTAAATGGAAAATATTCCTCATCTAGCATTGTATATCGTAATGATTTCTTGTTACGAATATTTTGTTTAATATCTTCAGATGAAAATCCGCTAAGTTTTTATCCGGGAATCAAAGATGGCAGTAAGTTAAATCTTTTGGTGATTAAGAAGGCAGAGGAAGGCTCTAGCGAGGCGAAATCTTTGCCCCAACAGAAAGCTGGTATCCATCTACTGAGAGAAGAGATCTCACGGGTGCTTAGGCATTATTATACAGTATCCGAGACAGAGTCCATAGTCAATGAGTTGATAAAGGACTTGAAAAATAAAGTGAATAATCTTAGTTACGATGATCTAGAGAGACTAGCCACTGCGTTACTCCAGGACCAAGAGAACGTAGCTTAAGGATCACTCAAGATTATCCAATTTTCGCTTACCAATTGATTATTGTAATACGAGTTTATTTAATTGAAGCATTGCCTTATATTATATATCGAGTCCTTTAATAATTGGTACTGTATTGTAATTTAAAGCGCGATCATACTGCAAGACTTAATGTACTATTTACTACGTTTGGATCTAAGAATAATCTTATGTGAAGTTTATTAAAAATCGCTGTATGTACAGACATATACCATGTCGCGTCATAAATAATTATATTGTATGCACAATAGGAAATTGTCAAGGATCTGCCAAGTCTAATTGACGAAAGTATCTCGCTACTAGACAGATGAATAAGTTCAGCGCTCCCAACTCCTGCGCGTCCAATTCTCTCTAAAAAAAAAAAAAAAAACAAAAAAGAAATAGCGAGATCGCAAAGAAAGCGTTAGTAAATTCTGACGTGAACTTTTGTAGATATTAACAAGACCACGAGTTAGTTTAGGCATAGAAGAAAAGTTCAGTCTCTTATTTTCTCAATCTTTTGTAATCTGACAAACGCGAGTTTTTATTATCGCCTGAACCTTTTTCTAACATCGGGAATGACATAGCAACAGCGTAAGTAGAGGAAACAGGAAGTTATATGCAATAAAAATGTTTTGTTAATAGAAATTCGGCGTTTCCTTTTCGTCCCTTTTTCTTTCCTCCGTATTATTTTTTATATAGCAATAGATTACCTACTAACAATAAATTCTAACTGAACTTTTCTTTGTAAAATTTACAAATTGATGCTTTAGAACCTAAAGAACCAATATGTTCTGTTTTTATTATATTATCATTTCCGATTCTAGAAAAGAAATATTGAATCGTACTTTCTCTGTGCCTTTAGATTCAAACATAACTATATATAAATCTTATATTTTTATAATTTTAAATATTAAATAAATAACATAATTAGTGTTAAGAAAAAAATATTTGAATTTTTTATTTGCTTAAAAGACATATCTTTCACATTTTATCGAGACATTAAATCTTGAAATCTTTACACAATTGCTCTTTTTGTAAGAAACGAGTATTATATGAACCGAAAAGCAATCAAGTTAAACTTGTTGATCCTTTTTTCGCTTTATGAGATACAGAATGATATTGGTTGATTTAGGCTGGATTCGGGGAGACGCTATTAACACTATTTGTGCCATTCATCTTCTATTAAATGTAAAACAAGGATAGTATGACACAAATAGCGTTGATAATTAATTGCAATATATTCTGATACTGAATTAGCTTGATCAAATAATGAACATTACAGTATCGGCACGAATGACGGAACATGCTCGAGCCAATGAGCGCAGGCAGGAACAAGTATCAGGCTGCAACGGTTGCTCCAAAATCCCAAGTAACGTGTAGATCCACTGGCCTATTTTGTATTCAACTTTTCTTTCAGTTTCTACGAATTGCACCAGATATTCTAATACCTGTTCTACATCAGACTGACTAAAGCAAAACAGAGTATTCAGTGTTGGTCCGATTTTTTCTTTGCCATCTAAACAGAAGTTTATCCAAGCATTCTGATCATCTATGTCTGGCTGCAATATCGAAGAAGAACCAATATAACCCATAATTTCCTGAAGTTTCAGATAAGTATTTTATAAGACTTGTATATACCAAATGAATGTCAGGTGATTTCCACTTGCGCTTGCCTATTAGTATCTCATCTTTCAATTGACTGACATACAGTCTTAACTTGGAAAAGTCTGCAACTTGATATTGTTGCCATTCCACAGTTGGCCTGAGGCTTGCTGGTGCTTGAATACATCCTGCTAACTTTTATAGTCATAGTCATTCCATTGTGAAATTTATGGTATGATTTATAGGAATTAACTTACAGTCTCCACATAGGCTTTTGTAGGCTCCTTCACACATGAGGGATCTAAATTGGCCACCACTACATCTGCGCATTGTCTGGCTTCTATTCTGCAATAAAACAGAACACGATGTGCAGGTGCTTTAAATTCGAAAATTCAAGAAAATGAAAAAAAAGAGTAGCTAAGAAAAAAAACGCCAACTTACACCACTCGTTTGATGTACTCTTCCCCAGAAGAAGGTGGTAATGATAAATTAATATCTTCGTTTATATCTCCCACCACAAATACCGGTTTTTTTAAGTAATCCATAATTCAGATAATTATTCAATTTAACTAATCTATTCAAAAATTGAGGAAATTACATTTATTCAACGCATTTTTGTCTGAAACGAATAAATATGACAAAAAATAGTGGCGCTCTTCCTCGCGGACGAAAACATTAATCGTAAAAGTTGGTAGAAATCACAAGTTTGTCATTGAGGTTAAGAAACCTGTTATATCGTCAATATATAAAAAATTGCGCATGCGTTAGAGATACTACGTAGCTACGCTTTATTTTCAACACTGACGATAAAATCGCGGTTTTGAAAATAAATGTGGTGTGAATCCGTGCTAAATCGTGATGTTGAAAATGTATACATTGAAACAAAAAAAGGTACGAGTTTGCAAAGTTTCGTCACGATTTTTTACTTCTAAACCTTAATATTATATATAATGCAACTTTAAACGGCAAAAAATCCTTGAATATTACAAGATAAAAATTGCTATTGTTTTATCATTTTTGAAATATATATATATATTCCTCTCTCTATTTCTCTTCTTTCTTATTCTATATTAATTAATTTTATTTTGTTCAACGCATATATTAAAAAATAATAATACAGTAAACCAACTAATTATAATTCAAAATATATGTACTGATTATTTTCAGCTGATATAAAAGATTAATTATAAGAATGTAAAGGGTCTTCGATACGTTGTGATGAAATCATTACATACATTTCACTACGTGAAGTAACATAGTAAAATTTATTACAATTGTGAAACGATTAATATAAAAAAATTACAATATATATGACTTACGATATTAAACATTATAATAAACGAAAAATGAAACATAGGAATAAAGCACGGTAACTAATGTGCGAATATATCTATTATTAAATGATTTATATTTCTATTTCTAATTAATTAATTGGTTACAATTTTGATTGCGCAACAGTTATCACTCTGCATTTAAATTTACCATTTTTTCTTTTCAATATAAAAAGATACGTTCCGTACGTTACACATGTAACTCTTATAGAAATATTAAATCGCGTTAATTTAAGCAACAATTTTAAGATGAAGAACACTGTATATTTTCAACGTCGCCGCATTCGGATAGATTATCCTCGATAAAGTTGTCCGACCTGGAGCTACTAGAATTACTACCATCATCGTTAGTATCTTCATCTCGATTTGAATTTGATTCGTAATGTAATAGGTCCGCATCAAAATGCTAGAAGAAACATGATAGTGTGTATATAGTCAATTTCATCTCTCTCTCACCTTTCCTCCCTCCCTCCCTC